TCAGGTAGAAAAAAAAACCTGGGGGAGGAAGAAAGCAAAGGGAATGAGATATAGAGTTCATCAGCTCAACCTTGACCCCAGTCCTCTCCCCAAGCCCAATTACACCCCCTACCCTGTCCCCAAACCCATCCCTAAACCCAATCTCAACCCCATTTCCTACGCTGTCCCTAAACCATTTCCAAATCCAATCCCATCCCCAATTCCATCTCATCCCCTACCCTGTTCCCAAGCCCACCCCTAAATTAAAACTCAACCCCTTCACTTACGCTTTCCCGAATCTCCACCTTCAAACCCAAACCTAAACTATCCCCTACTCTACCCCCAATCCATTTCCTAACCCAAACCCAACCCCATCCTCATCCCAAACTCTTTCCCACCCAGTCCCTATCTGTGTCCCCGAACCCATGCCCAAATCCAACCCCATCCCAGCCAAGACCAGTCATCAGGAAGCAGAAGCTGCCAATCCATGCCAGGTAGAAGCTGCACCCCAGCCTGTAGGTCATGCCTTCCTGCAGGTATTCATGGGCCTGCATCAGGTAGAACAGGATACCCAATATCATGTTGGCCCCTGCATGAGTACAGGTGTTAGGAGGCAGGGCAGCAGGTGTGTGAAGACCCCTGCCCATAGTTTTGTAGCTGCCTGGCTCTTGCTCATTATTTTCCTACTTTCTTTTGCTTCCCTTTACCTCTGCTCACAAGCAGGATAATAGGCTCCTGACAATGTCATGGTAGACAACACTGAAAGTGCAAATCTTGGTCTTTTAGTTGGCAGTGGGGATGTCGAAGACCACAGACTTTGGGACCAACTGACTGGAGTTCTTAGCCTCTGCCTCCCACCTTAGGGATGCACTCCATTTCCCTGAGCCTTATTGCTCCCATCTGTAAAGGACATAATCACAGGGACCATCTCCTTGTTGTCATGAAGAGTTATTGAGATTGACACATTTGCTGGCACACAGTGAAATAAATTATTATCATTACACTGGGTCTTTAATTTGGGGCTTCTGAGATATTGGATAAGGAACTCTGTCATTCTGGATATGTTAGCTGCATTTTGAAATGACATGAATTAAAGAAAATTTATGAAAAGAAAAGTTTTCTTTTTTAGGTAGTGGATGGAATACTGGATACTTTCTTATATATTAATTTTTAGAGAAAGAGGGAGGGAGAGAGAGATCAGTTTGTTGTTCCACTTAATTATGCATGCACGTGTTCATTGATTGATTCTTGTATGTGCTCTGACTGGGGACTGAACACACAACCTTGATGTATCAAGATGATGCTCTAACCAACTGAGCTACCTTGCTAGGGCCTGAGTAATTTTTTCTTTATGCTATTGAAAAAAATATAGGAAATAATTTCCATTTAATTAAAAAGTGGAAATGGGCGGAAATGATTTTCTTATAGAAAAATGTCCTCATTTAGATGACATACAACAGGTGTTTTCCATCCTATGTACCTTATATTTAAACAATTGGGAAGAGCTAATAGACCAACTAGACAAATAACATTTGCTAACAAGGAAATGGGAAGTTGAGTGGTCTCCCTTCTTGGCCTGACTATCACTCTCCAAAAATGTTCTCCTGATGCAACTGAAAGTTGTGGTCAATTACTAGAAAAATTTCCAAATGAAAGTGCTCCCCACGGCCTCCTTTTCTAAAAAGTGTGATTTGGCATGCAAGTGAAACTCAACTATTCTAATAGGAATATACATTTTGAGCGGGTGGGAGATAAGGACATGTACAACAGCTATCATTGAGTACTGACATTTTCTAATTCAGTCCTCATGACATCTCCACATGGTATAAAATGTTAGCCCCACCCTACAGATGAGCAAACTGTGGCTCAGAAAGGTTAAGTAGCTTGAACAAAATCACAGAGCTGGTGGTCGTGGGGAGATGGGATTTGGCATGGGGCTGGAGCTGGAAATGAAGTTGGGTACTGGGCAGAAGTTGAAGTTGGAGTGATAAGGATGGAGGTTGAGATTGAGGCTAGCGTGACTGGAGCTAAGGATGGATTGGAGTTTAGTAAAACGATGGAGTTGGGAATGGGTTAGGCCGCGTTTGAGAGTGAGGTTCACGAGTTATTGGGATGGGTTGCAGTTGGATGTTGAGATTTGTAAAGGGTTTGAGGATGGCTTGGATATTGGAGAGAAAATGGAGTTGGAATGGGTGTGGAGATGCACCTGGACATCATGGAAGGAAGGTAGGTAAGTCTGAGATTTGTTGGTGATGGAGATGGGAAGTAAAGTGGGGACTGGTATTGGGGCTGGAGAGGGGGTTGGGTTGAAAGTTGATATATATATTTTTTTATTGGGATGGATTGGAATATAGAATTTGGATGGGGTTGAAGGAGAGAATGGGGGTGGGTTGGAGGGTGGTGGGGAGAGTTTGGGTATCGTGGTAGTCAGTGGGCAAGGTACACTTTGTCTTGGTGTCCCTAAAGGAAGGACCTCAGAGCCATGCCTGTCAGGATGCTGATAACGATGCCGGAGAAGTCCAGAATGGACAAGTTAGAGCTGGTGAAGAAGATGGTGTCTATGAGTACAAAGCAGACGCAGAAGCCGGTGATGGTGGCAATGAGGAGGAAGGCCCAGGCAAAGTCCAACAAGTCTGGGGAAAGAAAAGAATCAGGAACACCAGGATGAGTATCATGTAGGTGAGGATGAGCACAAGGCAGTGAGGATGGTCTTGGGACAGCGAGGACCATCCCAGAGGACAAGCCAGGGGCAGTAAGGATCATCCCAGAGGAGGCAGAAAGGGGTCCCTGGGACAGAGGAGAAATTAGACCCAGGAATGGTGTGTCTAGGGCAGGCCTTACAAGCATTCTTGTCGTGCTCTTTCCGGCAGGAGATGTCAGAACACCGCACAAAGAAGATGGTGTTGATGGGCATGGTCAGGGGGCCAGCAGGGTCCCCAGGGGGTGTCAGTGGCACCTGGAAGTGCATCCAAGGCTGGCCCAGAGTAATGAGGCTGATGATCATCATGCCAGCTAGGCTCAGCACCAGGCTCAGCTGGCGGCTGATCTTCTTGGCCTCATGCAGAAGCCGCCTGCCTAGGGGCAGCTGGGATTGCCTGCGTCTATGCCCATCCTGAAACCTGCAGTAGATCACCCACCACCAGCGTCAGCACTGAGTCCAGCCACCCAGCCCAGCCACCCTAGGTCCAGCTGCCAGACTGTCCCACCCAGTCTAGCCTTCAGACTCCATCTTCCCTATGTTCATCCTCTATTCCCTGTATCCCCCAGGTCCTGTCTCCAGGCTACCTTGCCTCCAGATCTAGCTTCCAGGCTACGCCACCCCCAAATTCAGTCTCTAGATGGAGTCACAGGTCCAGCCTCTGTGCCATGCGCTACCCAAGGCCCACCTTCAGGTCCAGCTTCTAAGCCCCGCCACACCTAGGTCCAACCACCAGTCTCTGAAACACCCACCATGTTTCTGGTCCCTGACCTTTGACTTCTGCTCCTCGCCTCAAATTCTAACCCGGAACCTGGCCTTTTGCCTGGACTTCTGCCCTCACCCGTAAAAACTGGTCTCCGTGGAGCTGTTTGTCGGTATGTTGTCTAGAGAACTTCCTCTGAATTGGAATTTGTACAACGAGTCTTTGAAATTCTCCTGGGAGTTCCAGAGAATTGATTCCATGCTTTCGATACTAGCCTCTGGGCTGTAAGTAATTGAAGGGGGAACATCCACATTGGCCCGAACTGGTAACTTGGAGCCTTGAAGACCTGAGTGGTGACTCTCGGTTGATGACAGGTCATCTTGGAAATTGATGTTACTACTGTAGGCAACGGATTCTATACTGGTCAAGGGGACGTGGGTAAGTAGACAAGGCTTCTGGGCACTTAAGCGGCGAGTTTGGAAACCTAATGGAATATCTTGGTTATTGGAAGAGGAACCGTAGGAAGCTGGCTGTGTGTCTTGGCTAATTATTTGGCTACTAACACCAAAGGATGGCATCTCTTCGATACTGACCAGGGGAGTGTGGACAAAGGATGGAGGTTCTTGGATGCTGACCCGGCGAGTGTGGATAATGGGTGAAGGTTCTTGGATGCTGACCCGGCGAGTGAGGCTACTGGCTGGAGGTTCTTGGATGCTGACCCGGCGAGTGAGGGTACTGGCTGGAGGTTCTTGGATGCTGGCTCGGTTTGTGAGGGTACTGGCTGGAGGTTCTTGGATGCTGACCCGGCGAGTGAGGCTACTGGCTGAAGGTTCTTGGATGCTGACCCGGCGAGTGAGGCTACTGGCTGGAGGTTCTTGGATGCTGACCCGGCGAGTGAGGCTACTGGCTGGAGGTTCTTGGATGCTGACCCGGCGAGTGAGGCTACTGGCTGGAGGTTCTTGGGTGCTGACCCGGCGAGTGAGGATACTGGCTGGAGGTTCTTGGGTGCTGACCCGGCGAGTGAGGATACCAGCTGGAGGTTCTTGGATGCTGGTTCGGCGAGTGTGGACAGAGGGTGGATGTTCTTGGATGCTGACCAGGTGAGTGTGGACAGTGGGTGGATGTTCTTGGATGCTGATTCGGCGAGTATGGGCAGTGGGTAGAGGTTCTTGGATGCTGACCCGGCGAGTGCAGATGATGGATGGAAGGTCTTGGACACTTTCCATGGGACTGTGGGTAACTGATGAAGGGTCTTGGGTCTCATCTTGGGTGTTGTTGGGATCTTCTGGAAGGAGATCTGACTGGCTGGTCTGTTGGCTAGATTGGGGCTTCTGGGACATGTGGAGGTGCCGGGCAACAGTCCCCAGCTGCACTCAACAGCCTGCCAACTGCCTCAGCTCTTCTTTCCAGGCACCTCTATGGCTACCTGGAAGCTTGTTGGTCTCTCCTGGGGTTCAGGCGTTGTCTCTTGAGGTTTGAATATCTTTGTCCCTTCTTCAGTGCTTCTTGGTCTCCCCTATTGTTCAAGGCAGGCCGCAGGGCTTCAGTCTGGCCTGTAACTGGGGGTGGGGGGAGGTTCCATGACAGTTGGAGGGGTTCCAGGAAGTGAGGACACTGGCCATGGACTCATCCATCACGTTAGACCTGTGTGAGTGACATGGGGTCTGGGCAGGGTCAGGATTGGGTCACGAAGAGGTCAAAGCTGGATTAGAGAGGTGTCAGGACAGGGCAAGGGTGGACTGGGGGCAAGGGAGCAATCTTAGGGTGGAGACAGCAGGGTGAGAGAAGGGTTAGAATGGGGTCAGGACTAGGTAGGGCTGGGTCAGCAGTATCTCTGAGATCAGTTCTTACAGTCTCTAGAGACCCTAAGGTCTGAAGTTACAAGTCCCTTTCCTACCTGCCCCACCCTGCACCCCTTCCAGGGCCGTCTCTGAATCCGTTTCATACCTTTATTTAACGCCTCTCCTTTTCCCTGTCTCTCCTGGCTCCCTTTCTTTCTTTGTCTCTGTCTCTCATCACCTTTCCCTAAGGCCTCAGGGACCCAGAGAAGATGGGGCTGTTCCCTCCCCTCGAAGTCCTACAATTCACAGCTTAAGAAGGGCTGGAGAGGGGCCCCCGGGGGTGCAGGTGCCCCAACTCGTACGTGCAGCCTTTCCCGTCAGGAGTGAGGAAATTGTTGCAAACTGTTTCCTTCATCCTTTCCTTTGTGATGATCTTTTGAAAAACAGGAATGGGCCAAAAAGGTGAAGGGATTAAGAAGTGCAAATTGGTTGTTACAGAATAGTCAAGGGAATGTAAAGTACAGTATAGGGAATATAGTCAATAATATTTTAATAACTATATATGGTGTCAGATAGGTGCAAGATTTATTGGGATGATCACTTATTAAGTTATGTGACGTCTAGCTAGTCACTGGGGTGTACATCTGAAACTAATATAATAATGTGTATCAACTGTGATTAAAAATAAAAAATGATGGAAAAAAAGAACCAACCAACCACAATAATAAAAATTAAAAAAAAAAACCTGTTCTGGCTGGTTTTGCTCAGCGGTTAGAGCGTCGAGCCGCGGACCACAGAGTCCCGGGTTCAGTTCCCGCTAAGGGCATGTACTTCTGCTGCAGTTTGTCCTCGGCCCCGGTTAGGGTCTTGTGGGTGGCAACAACTCCATGTGTCTCTCTCAGATCGATGTTTCTCTCTCTCTCTCCCCCCCCTTCCACTCTATCTGAAGATAAATGTACAGGTGTCCTCGGGTGAGGATAACAAAACAAAACAAAACAACCCTATCAACCTTTATATCTTTAATTACATGACTACCCATTTAACAACTCTATACCTCTGTTTCTTTATCAGTCAATGGATTTGTTATGAGAGTGAAACAGGTTAATAGCATGTAAAAGCACTTAGAATTCATTGTGATAAAAATCTGTTGGTTTTTGTTGTTAATCCTCACCAGAGGGGAGATATATATATTCTCACCCGAGGACATTTCCTCGTTTTTTTGTTCAAATAGGGTGGGAGGGAGAGAGAGGAAGAGAGAGAGAGAGAAACATCGACGTGAAAGGGACACATCGAGTGGCTGCCACCCACACGACCAACCAGGGCCGGGGACAAACTGCAACCGAGGTACGTGCCCTTAGCGGGAACCGAACCGGGGTCTCTCTGGACCGCAGGCCGACGCTCTAACCGCTGAGCAAAACCAGCCAGGGCCTGAGGATATTCTTTTGCATTCATTTTTAGAGTGGAAGAGAGGAAGGGGGGGAGAGAGAGAAAGAAAGAGAGAGAAAGTGAGAGAGAGAGAGAGAGAGAGAGAGAAATATGGATTGGTTGCCTCCCACACACACCCCAACCAGGGTCAGGATTGAACCTATAACCAGGTACGTGACCTTGATGGAGAATGGAACCCATGACCCTCTAGTCCTTGGGCCGACACTCTAACCACTGAGCACGCTGGCCAGGGTAAAAAAACTGTTGATTTTTTTACTCTTTACAGATATTGATTTTGATTCTAAAAGCTTCTTTTCCTATCCCCCGAACACCTCCCTGAGTTCCTGACCCGTGTGCCCAGCTTCCTCTGAGGTCCACATTGAGATGTACCATCGAAGAAGAGAAAGGAGTGGCTATTACTGGGCCCCATTAATGTCCCCGTCCACCTGTTTCTTCACACATTCATGCACGACTCCTTTTACGTGAAAATAGCAAAGGCTGTGTACCAGGCGATGGGGGTACAGCAGGGAACACTAAAGATTTGTCCTCTGTCCTCATGGAGGTCTGTCCAGGAAGACTGGTAGGAAAAAAACCCCAGTAATATAACGAATGACAAGGCCGTGAAGAATTGCACATTGGCCCTGGTAAGAGTTGCTCAGTGGGTGGGCCATCAACCCCCGCACTGAAGAATCACAGGTTTGATTCCCAGTCATGGGCACATACATGAATTGCGGGTTTGATCCCCATCCTGTTGGGAGCATGTGCAGGAGGCAACTAATCGATGTGTCTCTCTCACATCAATGTTCCTCTGTCTCTCCCCTTCCCTCCCTTCTACTTTCTCTTAAAAAATTTTCTTTTCTTTATTGATTTTTAGAGGGAAAGGGAGAGAGAGATGGAAACATCAATGAGAGAGAACATTGATTAGCTGCCTCCTGTATGCTCCCCACTGGGGATCGGGCCCACAACCTGGGTATGTGCCCTGACCGGGAATTGAACTGGCGACCTTCTGGTGGGTCACCACTCAACTACTGAGCTACACTGGCCGGGCCCTTCCACTTTCTCTAAAAATCAATGGAAAAAGTATCCTTCAGTGAGGATTAAAAAGAAAAAAAAAAGGAATTTCCCATTGTACTCTAACAGCTGGGTGTAACTGAGGCTGGGTATGGGGGCGTGTCAGGAAAGGAGATGAGGAGGAAGTGAGTGGAGGAAGTGACACTGGAGCTGAGGGTGAGTCGGGCAGTCTGGGCAAAGGTGGAAGGGGAGAGTCCCGGAGAGAAGAAACAGCCAGAACTGTGTGGAGGTGCCCAGGTAGGAAAACTCTTGGTGTTTGGAGGAAACTTGTGAAGTCTAGTATGACCAGAGGTAAGTGAGCGGGGGGGGGGGGGGGGGGGGGCAGGTTGGCAGGATCACAGGGCCTTGGTGAATATGGGGTGCAACCCGTGTTCACTCTTTTTGATACCGTGGGTCTTGTCCTCGTGAACATACTTTAGAACCCGTGTCACTGTTGTGGGTGTCCTGGGTTGGGATTTGCGACAGCGAAGGAGGTAACGGGATAAGGTTGAGAGTGGGGATGGTTCTAGGGTTTGGGGAATAGGAACTGGAGGATGGGGTTGAGCTTGAAATGGGGTTTCGGGTGGGGGATGAAGTGGGCATGAGAGTGAGAGTCAGGAATGGGGTTGTGTTTGGGGTTAAGGACAGAGAATATTGCGGATGGCACTGGGCCGTGAATGGTGCTGGATGAGTCAGGAACAGAGATGGGGATGAGGTTGGGATCAGGTTTGGGTGGAAGGGGTTTGAGAACGGGGTGAAAGGTGAGGTTTGGGTAGGGATGGAGGATGGCTGTGGTTGGGGTGAACCCTAGGATGCAACAGAGAGATGCAGGCTGATCCCAATCCCCAGAACTCGATTCTTCCCCAGTGGACCCAGACTATTTCTGGGAAGAGGACAGAAAGTTCATCCTGCGGGGCTGGTCCCTCGTCTTCAGCATCCTTGCCACCCTGATGACGTTCAGCATAGTGGATGGGCGTATGGTGTACCTGACAGGCTCCTACACCGGCTACGTGGGACTCTGGACCAACTGCAGGAGGCACCAGTGTCCCAGCTTTGGCGAAGTCACTGGTCAGTGGGGCCATGAACAGGCATGGGGCATTCTGGAGGGGGCTCTCTGGAGATTGTCAGGGGCAGGGATCTTTAGGCGTCCTCCGGGGGAAATCTTTACCATCCTGAGAAAAGGTCTCTTTTGGAGAGTCTCTGAAGGCCTTGTGAGGGGGTCTCCTGGAGTTTTTTTTTTTTTAATCACCACTGAAGAGAGAAAAGAGCTGATACATTTCAAAAAAACTTTTCCCTTTATTGATTTTAGAGAGAGTGGAAGTGAGAAGGAGAGAAAGATAGAAACATCAATGAGAGAGAACATTGATTGGCTGCCTCCTGCATGCCCCCCACTGGGGATTTGGCCCACAACCTGGGCATGTGCCCTGATGGGGAATCGAATCGGCGACCTCTTGGTGCATGACTTGATGCTCAACCACGGAGCCACACTGGCCGGGTTAGTTCTCTTTTTAAAAGCAAATCACCATTTATTGAATGCTAATATGAATGTACATAGCTTTATGGTTGGCATCTAAAACAACAACAACAATAAAAACCCAAAAAAACAAAACAGATTACAAAGGTGTTTGCTTTTTATTTTATGATGAAGAAATTCAGCATTTTTAGGGAGTTTAATTTCTCCCCTTTGCCTCTGTGACTTTACTGACTGCTTCTCAGCTCCAGGAAGCTCTTCTCCCTCTAGATTTTGGGTGAACATGCAATTCTGATTTTGGGGGTGGGGGTGTTTGCAATTTTGGTGGGTGGTATGCAGGCAGCACAGGTCTCTCCACAGGTCTGTGAGAAGCCTGTGGAGGAACCCATGAATTAATCAAGCATCTTCAGGTCACAAGGGACAGAAACTAACTTGAACTAGCTTGAGTGAAAAACCGATGCCCCCTCCCCCCAACTGCCAAAGGCTGGGAGATGGAATGTTCTCAGGCATGGCTGAATTCAGGGGTCCAAGTGATCACATCAGGCATCACTGTCTGTTTCCAGGCTACTTGGATTGGCTTTATTCTCAAAGCTTCATGGAGTGGCAGCCGGGATGTAGTGAGGAAAAGAAATCATTCTAGATGCGTCAGAGGAAAGTAACTCTGGATAACTGGTTTCATGGGTAACAGAAGAACTGAGAAGCCAAGTAGGGAACGGTGAGGCAAAGCAGGAATTAGCAACTCAGGAAATGACTGCACCCCTAGAGCAGGACAGAGAGGAGGTGGTATTAACAGGGCTCAGAGGCTGGAGCCATCTGGAGGGTATAGCGGTGGCCACTATCACAGAAGACATGCGGTGGCTGCTGAGGCAGAGAGACAGGTGGGGGATACATATCCTGGCTTGTCCCCTCCTCCCAGAATGATGCTTCTGCCATTGCCTCCTGTTAGCCAAAGCTGACAAGCCAGTGAACAAAGGAGGCTGGGCAATGTAGCCCTTGCAGTGCAGAACAGGGAAGGGTGGGGAATGGAGCTGAATGCAGACCAACTAATAACTGGCAGAACTGCTAACAACTTGGGTCTCAAGTCCAGCAGGAAAGAAATGCAAAAAGTTCCCGTAAAAGCCCTGGCTGGATGGCACCCACACCCCCAAGCGAGCCTGGTGGGCCAGAGCAATGCAATGCACTGATTGGCTTATAAAAGGGGCTGAGAGTGGGGAACAGGTAGGAGGGTGAAATGCATGGTGGGAAGGTAAGCCCTAAATGTCCACTCTGTCTGAACAAACACAGAATGGGCTGGTCTCTGGGATGATGACAGCCAGTGTCACCTCAACTCTCCTTCTCTGTCTGCCTTTCTTTTTTAGTTTTAGTCTCTCAGGTCTCTCATCCCACCAAGGAGGCTGGGAGCGTGGCTCAGGCAGCTCCAGGCTCATACTGCTATAGACTAGGAGGGAGAGCTGTCCCCGACAACTTCTTTTAGAAAATGTCTCAGGCCCGGCCGGTGTGGCTCAGTGGTTGAGCATTGACCCATGCACCAAGAGGTTGCCAGTTCGATTCCCAGTCAGGGCACATGCCCAGGTTGTGGGCCAGATCCCCACTGCGGGGTGTGCAGGAGGCAGCCAATCGATGTTCCCTCTCATCGATGTTTCTATCTCTCTCTCTTTCTCCCTTTCTCTCGCTCTCAAATCAATAAAGAAAAAAAAAAATTTAGAAAATGTCCCAGGGCAGAGCTGTGAACATGTGCTCACTTTTGGGCCAATCAACCCCTTCTGGGGCATGGGGCACTATGATTGGCTCAACTGGAGTCACATGACAACCTCTGAGGCCCACCCAGAGCACAAGGTCTGTCTTGAGAAGCCCTCAAGGTAGATTATGTGATTGATTCAGAGATCACCATTGCTATCCTGTATACAGGAGTAAACTTTTGCTTGCTGGTTAGGTGTTAGGGGCGGAGAGTTTGCCAGAAACAGAGCACATGGAGTCTTAGCTCATTTGGCTGCAACAGTCTTGCACTGTTCAAAGGCAGGCAAAGTAGGAAGGGGCTAAGAGGAGAGATGTAATTCTCAGAAGGAGCCGAAAGCCTTATTGAAACTGTGGTTCTGCAGTGAGTGTGATGACATCTTTCAGGTACACTAATTTTAGAGTATTGTTAAGTTCTTTTTTTTTTCTCTTGGTGTGTGTACATCTGTGTGTGTGCTCTAGGGGATGTGGGCAGTGATGTGGAGAATGGGGTGACATTGGGGAGGTTCTGGGGTGTGAACGGGGTCACCGGGGGACCTAGGAGTGTGAGTTGGAGAGAAGTAGAAGGACCCTGAGATGATTCGAGTGTCTTGGATAACTTTGAGGGTGCTTTTGGATGTGTCTGGGGAGTGATACTGAGGATATTGCAAGTTGCTGTGGGACATCTTTTGGGAGTGTGAGTAGGGTGACTTTAGAGGTGTCTGTGGGGGTGACTCTAGAAATGATTGAGATGATTCTGTGGAGTGACCTTGAGAATGTGCCTGGAGGTGATTCAGGGATCATCTGTGGGGTGACCTTGGTGGTATGATTATGAGGGTGTCTGGGGTTGACTTTGGGGTGAATGGGGGTTGATTTGGGACAACTTTGAGGGTGTGAGTGGGGATGATTTTAAATTTACAGGTGCCCAGGTGCCTTTGTGAGTGGCAGTGGGTCATTCTGGGATTTCTAGGAGGTGACTTTGGCGATGAGAGTGGGCGTGACTTTGAGGGTGTCTGTAGTCAAACCGTGGGGGTCCTTTGAGGGTGCTGTTCATGGGTGTCAGTGGGGCTGCATTTGGAGGTTGACCTTGGAGAGTGTCCGGGGATGACTCTGGGACAATCCTCCTCCTGCCCCCACCCCCAGTTCTCATCCACATGAGCATGGGCTTCATGATGTTGGCCCTGCTCCTGTATGTCATCCTCCTCCCCGTCATGGGCCTCTCCTTCCGGCCAGTCTTCCGCCGCCTTAGCAAGACTGACCTTGTCTTCAGTGTTCTCAGCCTCAGCACTGGTAAGTGTTGGCTTGGGGGAAGGGGTGCCCTCCCCATCCCGGCGTCTGTCCCTGGGGCCTAGGAGTGTGAGTGGGGGTGAGTTTTTGTCCTGCAGGCTGCCATCTTTGTCCTGCGCCTGGGTCTGTCTTTGAAAGTTTCTTGTGATCTCTGCCTACTCTCACGGTTCTCCGTTCTCTGCCTTTCTCAGTTGGGGTCAGTGGGTGGAGGATCTTCCAGGTATCCCTGTCGTGTGTGTGTGTGTGTGTGGGGGGGGGGGGGGCTCGTGAGAGGTTGTCCTGTCTCCTCTTTTTGGGGGTTCCAGGGTACCTGTCTAGTCTTGTGTCCATCTCTGGCCCCACCCAAATGCAGGGCTCCTGATTATTCTCAGCATGACGCTCTTTGTAGTCAACTTGCGGATGCTGCACCCCAGGCCACAGATATCCTACCTGGTGACCACCTACCTATGCTGGGGCGCCGGCGTCTTGATGCTATGGACCGGTGAGGGCGGGGCCTCGGAAAGAAGGGGCGTGGCCTAGGCAGGGCAAGGGGCGGAGCCCGGGAAGAACCCTAGGCTGGGCCTCGGGTTGGATGGGGGCGGACCCAAGGGGAGGTCGGCCTAGAGGAACGGGGCGGGGCCTATGGCGGGGCTCGGAGTCCAGTGGCCCACCTAGCCCCTCCTCCCCAGGAATCCTGAACTACTTAAACCACGTCGGCCTGTGGAGCCGCGCGTCGGAGTCCTGGCATCGGCAGATGAGCTATCGCCGGAGGGCCACGCGGCTCAGCTCCCTGGGGCTCATGAGCAGACAGCAATCAGACGCAAATCCCAAGCTAAAGATGAACCAGCCCGGTTTACTCCGGCACGAGGGGACCCCCGCCCAGCCTCTCTAAGCACTTGTTTCTCAGACACTGCGGGGCTCGCCCCCCTCACAGTGGTCACGCGGAAATCAGACCTAGGTTGAGGGCCCACTCCCTAGGAACATGCCACGCCCTCCCAGGACTGTTGACAAAGCCCGGACCCTCAAGCTTGGGCCCACCCTTTGCGACTCTGTTCCGGTCCACTGAGTCCTCACCCTGCCCCCACCCCATGAATCAGACGGCTCTCCCTCTGGTTATGCATAGCCGGTGGGAAGGGTCCTGTGGGTGTGGCCCCGCCTTCATCCGAGCTAGGCCACGCCCCTACCCTAGCTAGGTCACGCCCCTGACGTCCAGCCCTCGCAAGCCCCGCCCCAAAAGCCACGCGTCATCGTCCTAACTCCTCCCCCTTCGGAGGGCCAGCCCAGTCCCTGGAGGTCTATTCCTGTCTACTGGTGAACAGGACCCTACTCAGCTTTTGATGTAGCCCCACCCCAGGAAGGTGTGGCTTGCAATAGCACCTCTCTGCCCCTTTCCTGGCTACCCCGCCACAATAAAGAGTGGGCTCCACCCAGGCTCTCTGAGTCCGAACTTCCATTGCATCCTCTCCCTTGGGGCAGGGTCAGGCCCAACTTGTGCAAACCAATCCGGAGTCCCTGCCTCCGTTCTCTGCCTGTTTGTCTACACCTGTCTCTGCCCGTCCTTCCCCTGTCCATTACTGCATGCCCCCCTCCGTGAGACTGGGGGGGCTGTGCAGGCTCCAGCCTGGCCCTGGTGGGTCCTGGCCCAGGTGCTCAGGGTCTGGGAGGTCAGATGACACCCAAACATGATGCAAATTTGATGCACATTTAGTTTTAATGGGGGCAGGGACAGGGCAGAGACATTCAGGAGTGGGCTGCCATGGTGTCCTTGATCCAATCAAGGAGGGCTATTAGTTTGGTGAAGACACCAGGCTTATCGGGCCGGGCACAGGGTGTGTGGCCCCATGACGTGATTCCTTGAAGCATGCCATCGCAGATCAGCGGGCCGCCTGAGTCACCCTGCAGCAGGGAGAGAGGAACACGGTGAGGTCCGCTGAGGCTTCAGGTTCTGCCGGCAGACCTGTGCCCAGCTCTAGGGAAAAACAATTGTCTCCGGAGTCCACTCCCAGAAGAAGGTGGGCAGGATTCCAATAGAGGGGACAGCGGGTTGAGTTCTAGACAATGAGGGTGGGACGTCAGAGTCCAGGTTCTGTATGGGGGGTAGGACCCAGGAGTACGGTCCCTGCAGGGAGGAGAAGTGGGATCCATCTACAGGACCCTCCCACCACAGGGCTCATCTCAGATATCACCTCTCAAGCAGCTTTCTCTGGCTGGACTGTGAATATGTGTTAGGAGGAAGGAGATGCATGGGACACCCGGACGGGTGTGTGGGAAGGAAAGGGTGTGGGAGGGAGGGAGCTGGAGCAGTGTGGGGGGGGGACTGTGCTATATCTGGGCAGCCTTGGAGACAGCTGCTTGGAGAGCTCTCAACCCCAGGCCAGAATCTGAGTCCCCTCCCCCAGCACTCTGAGGCCCAGGGGAACAGGTTGGCTCACCGAGCAGGTGTCCTTGCCACCCTTCAGGTGTCCAGCACACAGCATGACATCTGTCACCTTCTCGGGATGGGCTTTGGCACACTTTTCGTTGGGCAGGAGTTCGAGGTCCACACACTGGAGGTTATCTGGGAACTTGACTACAGGCCAGGAAGAAACCTGACTGCAGCCTATACCACCTGGCTCCTCGGCCCTCCTCCCCCAGACCAGGAGTCCAGGCCCCCAGCACCTCCTCCCTCAGACCCAGGAGTCCAGGCCCCCAGCCCCTCCTCCCTCAGACCCAGGGGTCCAGGCCCCCAACCCCTCCTCCCTCAGACCCAGGAGTCCAGGTCCCCAGCCCTCCTCCCTCAGACCAGGGGTCCAGGCCCCCAGCCCTCCTCCCTCAGACCAGGAGTCCAGGCCCCCAGCCCCTCCTCCATCGGACCCAGGAGTCCAGGCCCCCAGCCCCTCCTCCCCCAGACCCAGGAGTCCAGGCCCCCAGCCCCTCCTCCCCCAGACCCAGGAGTCCAGGCCCCCAGCCCCTCCTCCCTCAGACCCAGGAGTCCAGGCCCCCAGCCCCTCCTCCCTCAGACCCAGGAGTCCAGGCCCCCAGCCCCTCCTCCCTCAGACCCAGGGGTCCAGGCCCCCAGCCCCTCCTCCCTCAGACCCAGGAGTCCAGGTCCCCAGCCCCTCCTCCCTCAGACCCAGGGGTCCAGGCCCCCAGCCCCTCCTCCCTCAGACCCAGGAGTCCAGGCCCCCAGCCCCTCCTCCCTCAGACCCAGGAGTCCAGGCCCCCAGCCCCTCCTCCCTCAGACCCAGGGGTCCAGGCCCCCAGCCCCTCCTCCCTCAGACCCAGGAGTCCAGGCCCCCAGCCCCTCCTCCCTCAGACCCAGGGGTCCAGGCCCCCAGCCCTCCTCCCTCAGACCCAGGAGTCCAGGTCCCCAGCCCTCCTCCCTCAGACCAGGGGTCCAGGCCCCCAGCCCTCCTCCCTCAGACCAGGAGTCCAGGCCCCCAGCCCTCCTCCGCCCCCAGGTGTCTGGGCTCCGGGCTGGCATACATGGATATGGTTCAATGCTGCCCCAGCCAGAGGCATAGCAGGTGCTCCCCAGTTGGGGCGCCTCGGTGGGCAGGTCCAGGACCTTCACGGCGTCTGTTATCTGGGCGGGCTTTGTCAGGCGGAGCAGCATGATGTCGTAGCTGTAGTCTTCTCCTGGGTAGGTGGTGTGGTTCTTCAGGAAGCTCAGGTTGAACTGAGGGTGTGGGAAGCTCTCACTGACCTGGACGTACTGTGCTGTGTCTTCATGGTCAAACAGGTTGTGGCGACCCAGCCAGAGCTGGTAATTGCTGGGGAGAGAGGGGGATGAAGGGGATGAGCAGAGAGGAGGGGGAAAGGGAGATGGGGCAAGGCAGCATGGGGGTGAGTCCCAAAAGAGAGAAAAGAGAAACAAGAGGAGAAACAGAGAGAACGTGAAAGATTCAGAATCGTGGGGAAAGAGACGGCGAGAAAACCACAGGATGCGACAGTGTGGAAGCCTTATCCAGGGGCAAAGAGAAAGGGAGTGAAGAAGAGAACTTAAGAAGGTACAGGCAACGGCGCAGAGAGGGAGACAGAGAAGGAGGGAGCAGCAAGGAGGCACGATGAGGAAGAGACAGAGTCGGAGAGAAACAGACGAACCGAAGAAGCAGGAGCGGAAGAACAGAGGGAGGGAGGAGAAGGGGAGACAGACCAAGGGAGGAAGGGCTGGAGGAAGTGAAGAGATAAATGAGAAATGGGAGCAGAGGAGGCCAGAGGGTGACAGAGCCTGAGGGACCCAAGGGAGTGAGGACAGGAGGGGGCGGGGCTGGGGGAGGGGCCTGTGGCCAGCTCAGCAGCAGCTGGGGCTGTGGGGCCGGTTCCCCAGCAGGCGGGGGGCCTGGCCCCCAGCCCAAGGTCAGCGGCCCCCTTCCCTTCCAGCACCCTTTCCTTCCTCTTGTCAAGTCCTCCCTCCTCCAGGGCGCTCACCCAGCTCCAGCTGCAACCAGCCCTTCCCTGTGTGCCCCGGGGGAGGATGGATTGTCCTGGAGGGTGGGGCTGAGTATGTGAGAAGCCCCCACACATGTTGGGGACAACCCTTTCTTTCCTCTGGGGCTCCCCTTCAGTCCCATTCTGGGTCGGGGTACACAGTAGTGATGGGGAGAGGGAGTAAGGCAGACACACACACACACACACACACGCGCACAGACAGAGCAGAGAGCTGGAGGGTGAGCCACACAGGGACAGAGATGGCAGCAGAGTAACCCGGAGATAGACAGAGTCAGGGAGAGACACAGAGACATGGAGACAGAAAAGAGAGGGAGCCAGAGACAAAAATCACAGTCACAGAGATACACAGCAGAGCCAGTTACCACGAGACAGACAGGACCGAGGAAGACAGAGAGACAGTCATAGGAGGAGAGACAGAGACAGACTCAGGCAGCCGTGGGAGGGTTCCCTGGGGTCGCCCTCTCCCAGCCCTGCTTCTCTCCTGTGACCCTGGACCACGACCTTCCTTTCTGCCTTAGGTCCCCTACCTCCCTTGAGGTTGTCTGAGGGGACAGTGCTAGCTGCCGGTCCTGTGGCAGCACAGACGCCCCTGCCCCAGACCCCGCTGCCCCAGTCCCCCACCCCTACTCACTCGTTTATGCAGTGGGCAGCTGTGAGCACCCACTGGGGGTGCACCAGGACGCCCCCGCACTGGAACTGGCTGTAGTGATACAGCGCCGCCTGCCAGGGTTGGGGATCCTTACACTCCCAGCCCCCTACAACCCGGGACTGGATGGGGGGCGCGGCGCCTGTGGAGAGGGGTTGAGTCAGGGTGGTTAGAGGGGCCAGCAGGCCTGGATGAGGAGAGGGAGCTGGGCTAGGGACACACAGGGACAAGGGGACCGAGGACCAGGGTCTGAGGACATGGGCAAGGGGTGTTGGGAAGTGCCCAGAATTCTGAAGGCTCGGAGCCGGTGGGTTGGTGGCTGGTCCCAGGTGGGGAGCCCTTACGGTGAGAGCAGAGCCAACACCATCAGGTGTGGGGCGTGGGCTTTGTGGGTGGTTTGGGGTCTTGGACGGCGGGGGGACAAGAGGCTGTGGGTTTTGAGAGGGGAAGCCAATGTTAAAGGTCTCAAGAGAGCAGCTCAGAGGCTGGGGAGAAAGGCGGAGGGTCCAGGGGCGTCCAGTCTGATGAAATGGTTTGGGGCTGGGTTCTCAGGCCTTCTGGAAAGGGTGTGGATTTGGGGAGTCAGGTCTAAGAGGCTAAGAAGCGCACCTGAGAATTGAGGCTGATGGGGGTTCCAGGTTGGGAGAATTCTGGGTTCCGGGCCAAAGAGGAGCAAAAAGGGTACAGCTGGGAGAGGGAGCCTGTAGGGTTTGTGATGCTGGAAACGGGATGGCGTTCTAGGAGGGGGGGGCCCTGGGACAGGGTGGGGGCCAGGCCTGGGAGGGGGTCTAAAGGAGGGAGAGCCTGTGATAGTCATTCTGGGATCAGGTGGTTCTATAAAGACGGGGTCCCAGTCAGCGGGTACTGGGGGACCTGGGGTGCCTTGGGAGCAACGCCAGGACAGGAATGAAGAAAGAGGCATACCAGGGGCCACGCAGCTGTGGGAGGACAGGGAGGACCCACGTGGGGTTTCTGAACCCCACGTTGGGGTACTTGGGTGAGCTGGGAAGGCATTGGGGATCCTGGGGAGGGGTTGTCCCTGAAAACCAGGGCTGTGCAGCGGCACAGGGGGGAGGCAGGTGGAGGGGGGTGCAGCTGGGGAAGGATGGACATTCTACAAGGAAGCAGCTCTGGATGTGGGGGTTCTGGGTGCTTCTCCCGGAGGAGAAGGCTGGGGCTGCTGGATGGTGGTCCCTGGGCAAAGCATCAGGGAAGAAAGATGTTTACAGAACCCCCATAGCAGGATGGACTGCCCACCTGGTCATGGACCAGAAAGTTTGTTTTGGAAGAAGCAGAGGTGCCTGATGGAATCTGGGGGGTGTCCTGGAAGGATTGGGGAGACCAGATGCCAGAGACTGGAGGATCCGGTTGAGAGCAGACAGCTGGATGGGAAACATCTCCAGGGAGGGGTAGGATCTGGGGACTCAGGTGCCCGACTATTGGGCCAGAGAGATCTGGAGGGATAATTAGGGGTGATCAGGGTCCAAGGGTCTGGTGATATTGGGGGGCTCTTTGGAAGAGTTGGAATCCCCCAAAGAGAGACTGAGGTGGCCCAGGATGCCCCCTTGGTAACGGGGCTCAGGTGGGATCTGGGTGGGGAAGAGTAGAGTGTTCTGGGGGTTCCTGGGAGGTGGCAGGACCTTGAGGGGGAGTGAGGACTGTGGGGAAGGTAAGGAGGAAGAGGGGCTGGGAGAGAGAGGGAAGAGCCTGGTGCCCTGAGGGTTGGAGGGGCACAAGCTGGGGTGCTGGTGGGAGGGAAAGGACTGATTATGATATTATATGGGGGGTGGGGGTGAAGGCAGCATGAGCGTCAGGGCCGGCTCCCCTCCCACATCTTCCCTGCTGTCTTACCAGTACGGGCCAGGAACAGGGCAGAGCTCAGGACCAGGAACCACATGGTGGAAGAGCTGTCCTGGGGCCGGCAGGTGGTGAGCCTTTAAAAGCCCCTAGGGCCCCGCCCCCGCCCTGCTGGCCCCTTTCCTGCCGCCTGGGGGCTGGACACCTCCTCCCACCCCAGGGCTGCGGCGGGATGGGAGAATGAGCACCTGTTGTCCCATAGGCCCTCGACTGGGCTTGCGCGGTCAGACAAGCCGTCCTGGGGCCCAAGCCAGTCAGGGCCAGGAGCTCCTGGGGCTTGTTCTTGGGGACAGAGCCAGTAACGATGTGATAGGCAGTTAGACAGACATAAGCAGGGCAAGGACAACGGGCCAGGTGCAGAAGGTCACCCCCGGTGTAGCCTTTTTATCTCTTCTCCCCTAGCAGATCGCTGGTCATGAGGTTCGACCCCCTGAACTTTTCCTCCCTGGAGAGAACATCTAGGCCTCAGTTATGTGTCAGCTCCAGGACCAGAAAAGCAGCAAAACCAGAGAAGTGATGCTCTGGCTCACGTCGGGACCAGCTGCATTGACTAATGACCCCCTGCCCCGCTGCTGAGCAGTCCGTGAAGACTATGACCCTGAAAGGACACACCTGGGAAACTGATGACTATGCTGCCGAAACTCTCCCCCAAGACCTCGCCTAAGATTCCCCACCTGCAGAGAGGGAAAAAAAAAGCCCTTAGGATGGGGGACTCAGCCCTGTGCTGTCCCTCTGGGGAGCACATCCTGCGCCTTCCCCTTCCTTCTCTTCTTCCCTCTCGGGCCTGCCTCTCCTAAACTCTGAGGGGCCCTGCAAGACTTGCAACCAGGGGAGCGATAGGCAGCGGCAGCTCATCCCGGGCTGACCCCCTGCACCTGTCTCCAAAGCCCCCTTTTCTCTGACTTCCCAGTGAGCTAGGCAGTACAACCTAGGCTCTCCTGTTGCTTCTTCTATGCTAAGCCCTCCCTGTCTCATGTCCACAGCTTTATTATTATTATTATTTTTTATCATCCTCACCCGAGGACATTTTTCCATTTTTTGTTCAGATAGAGCAGGAGGGAGAGAGAGGAAGAGAGAGAAACATCGACGTGAAAGGGACACATCGAGTGGTTGCCACCCGCACAACCAACCAGGGCCGGGGACAAACTGCAACCAAGGTACGTGCCCTTGGCGGGAACCGAACCCGGGTCCCTCCAGACCACAGGCCGATGCTCTAACCGCTGAGCCAAACCGGCCAGGGCTCATGTCCCCAGCTTTAATGAACGTCCCGTCCGAGTGTGCTTTTGCTGCGGCCAATAAATTCTTACTGGCTTTGCTGCGCTTTGTCTTTTGACTGACACCTTAGCCGAGGTCTCGTCGTCTTGCCGGTAACAAGGGTAGGTGGGGGAGTGAGTGGGAGCAGAAACAGGAGTGGAGAAATCACTGACCCCTCAATACAAAGCCTGATATTTCTGAACCCCAAGTAAGGCCGCATACCCCAAGACCCAGTGCACCTTCAAACACCAACGTTGGGGCTCTGATTTCCTTCTCCCCGCACTGCTTGGAGCCAACACGCCAACTTCTCAGCTTCCAGATGCCCTCGAAATACACGCTTTGGCTTTCAGACCGCCCAGATCCTGCATTCCCAGACCCAGGATCCAGGTCCCCAAATCTAGTGTCCTCTCATAAAATCTTGGGGTACCCATTTCAATTCTAGCACCCCCTGATCCAGGAATACAGAGTTTCAGTGGTCTCCCTGAATGTATTCCCTGGCATTTCAAAATTCATTGTTCCCCCAAGCAATGTTGGGAACCCATTACCCCTCCCCCGACTCCTTGTTCCCCAGATCTGGAGGCTCAAGGTCATGTCCTCCAAAGTCTCAGGAATCCCGGACTACCTGCCTTCCAAGGGTAAGGGCATCCTCGTCACAAATTCCAATGTCCCCTCTCCCGACAGAATCGATAGGTCTCAGGGGCCAGAGTTATGTACTTCAACATTTAGCAACCTTGAAAATCGCATTTTGGGGATCTCTGAAGAGAATACAAAACTAGATTCCTGCAGCCTCCATGGTAAACCCATAGGTCTGACATGTTCTCTTGGCTCTTCAGCAAAATCAAAGCAGCTCTCGGGGTCTTAGCCTCTGCTGTAGGTCGGCAACCTGCCTGTGGAAAGGAGAATATTTGCCATGGCTACCAGGAGGCCCCAAACTAAACCTTGAAGAAAAAAAAAATGAAGCCATTCTTGATCATCTAGTGCATGCTGGGTCCTTTCACTGGGGTCCAGAGATATAGGGGTCCAGTGCCAGGCCCTGTGTGAATTAGTTCACGTGGATTTCCTCATTTAACCCTATGAGGTGAGCAATACGAGGATCCCTGGTTCCCAGATGGGGAAACCGAGGCTGAGCGAGGTTGAGTCTTTTGCTCAGGGTCACACCCCTGACCCCATGTGTTGAGTGAATGGAGCCCTGCTTCAGGCTCTTTCTCTTCCCCCAGGGACCAGGGCAGGAGGTGCACAACAACCGTGCACATTGGATCTGGGCCCCCCACCCAGTCTCTGGTTCCCAGGTCCCTTCTTCCCCAGAAGAAAGTCACAGAAACTTTTTCAGAGGAACGTGCGTCAGTGCTGTTATCTTGGTGCCGAACAGGTAACCTTGAGCACCTCAGACAGGACAAGCCCTTGGCTAACATCGGGGCCCTGGGCAAATGGGGTCTTTGGGGGATGACTCAATTCTGTCCCGCGTGAGGATGGAGTGGCCCAGGAGAGTCTGCTCAGTCTGAGACACAGGGGTAGGCCAACAGTCAGTTCCTCTTCATGGTGTTTCTGATCCACTCCAGGTAGCTGCACACTTTGGTATAGACACCGGGCTTGGTGGTAGTGTCGCAAGGGACATCACCCCAGGACACAATGCCTTGCAGGATGCCTCCACAGACCAGGGGTCCCCCGGAGTCACCCTGCGGGGAGAAGGGGAAGCTTGAGCGAGAAGCTTCAGATCTAGTGTTCCCTACCCCCATCTAATCACCACTCACAGTCTCGGTCAAAACCCACCCCCACCCCATCTCAACTCAACACAACCCAGTTGAACCCAAACCAACCCAACCCCAACTCAACACAACTCAGCTAACCCACGTCCAACCCCAACCCGACTCTACCTCTTTCCCATTAAAAATCAAACCAGACCCACATCCATTGCCATGTCTTTTGCGCCCTAAATAAAGTTTACCCCGTCCCCAATTCAACTTCAACATATTTCCTATCTAACGTCAAACAAACCCATTCCCATTCTCAACTCCAGCTCATGCCATCCCAACCCGACCACCTCATCGTCCACCCCAAACTCAACCCCAACCCCAACCCACCACCCTCTTTAACTCCAACCTCACCCCCATTCTAACTCCATCTTCCTGCTCCATCCCCAGACCTGTCCCCAGTATCTTCTCTGGGTCAAAGCGAGCAAGCACACCTGACCCTAGCCCAACTCCCAAACCTGTCCCCTGTTGGTTTGGGCATGGTCCCCTCTTGACTCTGACCTCACAGGAGTCCGTGCCTCCGCCTTCCACACCTGCACACACCATGGTGCTCATCAGGTGCCCTGGATAGTCCTTGTTACAAGATGCGGTTGAGATGATGCTGATGTTGGCGCAATGCAATGTGTCCGGGAGATCCACTGGGGAGGACAGTGAATGTGGAGAGAACACATACATTTTCAAGCCCCGTGCTCTGGCCGGCATAGCTCAGTGGTTAGAGCATCTGCTTGTGCACCAGATGGTCTGGAGTTCTATTTCAGTCAAGGGCATGTACCTGGGTTGCAGGTTAAATCCCGGGATCCCCAGCCCTGGTTGGGGGCATGGGGAAGGCAACCAATCCATGTGTCTCTCTCACATCAATGTTTCTCTCTCTCTCTCCCTCTCTCTCTCTCCTCCTTCTTCCTCCCCTCCACTCTCTCTAAAAATTACTTGAAAAAAATATCTTCAGGGGAGGATTCACAACCACCACAAAACCAAACAAAACATGTTAGGCCTTTTTTTCCTCCTCCCAAGAGCCCTGGAGGATAGGGTCCCTGGAGGCCCGACATCCAGCTCCAACCTTTCACGCACCTTGTGACTGGGAGCTTCCTGTGCTCCCAGACTCATAATTAGACACCAGGCCCCAGCCGGACACCACGCAGGACTCGCCAGGTTGGGGGCAGCGCATGGGCAGCGACACGGGGCGCACTTGCCGGGAGAGGCGCGCGGGCCGCGTTAGCCGCAGCAGCATCAGGTCGTGGAGATGGGTGCGAGCCACGTAGCCCGGGTGCGAGACGACGCGGGAGACTGTCCGCAGCTGCTCTCTGCCGTCGCTTTTGCGGAGGTTGTGCTCCCCCAGCCGCACCCTCAAGTTGCTGAGCGGGCTGGGATCATCCGCGAGTGGAGGGAGGAGCAGACGGAAGAATCAACCAGCGGGCAACCTGGGGCCCCTTGACGCTTCGCAGATCTAGATGCCCCGTTAGCCTGGCCTCAGAGCTCCTGCCTTCCAGGGACCCAAGTGTCCCTAGGCACCCCACAGGCGGAACTCGGTCCTCAGGCTCCAGCTCTTTCCTCCCCAGGGTCCGAGCTTCTCAGCTCCCCAGACCCTTCCCTCCGCGCCCCCGCAGCCCCCGGAGCCCTGCCTTCATACCGGGTCTGGCAGTGGGCTGCGGTCAGCACCCAGTAAGGGGAGACGAGGGAAGCACCGCAGTTGAAGCGTCCACGGTCGAACAGGGCCACTTGCCAAGGCTGGGAGTGGGGCTCACACTCCTCACCCTTCAGCACCTTGCCATTGTTCTGCGCCGCTGGGAGGGGAGACGGGGGGGGGGGGGCGGGTGTCAGAGTCCTTTTCCTAGCACCCCACACCTCCCCTGCACCCTGCCCTCACTATGTAGTTTTCACCTGCGCCTCCCCAACTTCTTACAGATTTTTACGCACTGCCTTCTCTCTCGCTTTCACGACTTTTTCTTATTTTCTCCAGAACGGTGCCCCTGTCCCCGGCCCCCGTGCATTTCCCACAGGACTCTGGGAGACAGAGGACAGGGAAGGGACCAAAGGGCAAGAAGTCCCCTGTCATTGAGAGTGGAGACAAGGACACTGGGTACAGTCTGGACAGGTGGTCACTCCACTCAAAGTCACGAGCTGTCACAGACCTCAAATGGATGACACACAGTCTTGGCTGCAGAGCCTGGACATCTCAGCCAAATGCAGTGTGTCATACATACAAGGTCACAGACATGACCACGCAAGGTCACGGGCAAGCAAACCGGCATGTGGCTCTTCCACAGGTGGGAGCGGACACGGGCAGCACTTGAAGCCGGAACACACTTGCGCACATGTGAGTTGCAGCTTCGCGAATCACAGTGTAAGGGGTTCATATGTGGGTAGGAATATGGACAATTAAGACGTGGGCACGTGTGTGAGTGCAAACACACACACGTTCACAGACACAGGTTTGCAAACAGAAGACCCAGACTGGGTCTTCTTGCACATGGGATCTGGACATACAAGGTGGGGTCTTTCATAAAGGTACATGTGGAGACACACTGATATGTACTCAGCATCCCCCCTCCCCCCCCGGCAAAACTTGTCCACAGACATGGGTCTATAGAACCGTGGTTAAATTCCGAGTGATAGAGTAGCCCCCACCCCCACCCCCACTCCCACTCCGCATCCAAGCATATTCTCTGTGAGACTCTGAGCAAATCATTTGACGTCTGTGCCTCTGTTTCCTCATCTGTAAAATGAAATTGTTATCAGAACTGAACAGGTGTGTGTGTGTGAGAGATGCCTGACATATTGTGACTGCTTCATAAATATTAGTTACTTTAAACAAAGGACTCGCAGACTTATTTATGCAGACATAACGTGTGGATGTTCAGATTGTGGACGTGAATTTAGCCAAAATAAGTCAAATGTATGACTGGACCCAGATAAAGATAGTCAAGGTCAAAACTGGGACTCATCCCCAAGGCACTGTGTGGAGATTCAAACACTCAGATGTGGACCCACTAGGTCATCTAAACAGGGCAACATCTGGACATGGGTCTGGGTATTCAAGGTCAAGGACATATAGCCGGGGACACAGGCAACCAGGACAGGACATATTTATCCATCTCTAGATCAGCACCCATGTCAGTTGCTTGGTGTTCAAAGTCACTCATCAGGATGTGGACACACAGAGCCTTGGACCCCCCCCCCCCCCATAGCACCATGCACAAGGGCATCAACAAAGATGTTTCAAGGTAACAGGACCACGACCCCCTACATTGGGCACATGGATATGTCCCCTCAAGGTCACAGCCAGGCACACAGTTACACTCACACTGGGGCAGGGTTTCACAGCCAAGACCAAGTGCCCACACTCTGCCCACTAGGGTTGGGAACCAGGCCAAGAGCCCTGGCAAGGTAGGGAGAACTCAGATGAGGTGGACAAGGGGCTTAACAAGGGGAGGGTGGGGTTGTCCTTCAGAGAAGGGCAGAGGGTGCCGGCTGAACAGCTGGGCACCGAGGCCGCACCTGGTCAGTCCAAGCCGGAGGAGGGCGGAGGCCCAGCCGGGTGCAGCAGGCAGGCGGGAGGAGGGGAGGAGAGAGCACGGACAGAGCCCAAGGGGACGCTGGCAGCAGGGGTGAGGGGAGGTTGTAGGGGCCCCCAGGGGCGAGAGGGGTCATGTGTGTGTGGGAGTTAATGAAAGTCCACCCTCGACTCCTCCAGGGTAGAGGCATCAGGTTACAATTAATTTCTTCATGGGTGGTAGATGAATATGTTCTGGAGTTTCTCCTGCCACCTTGGGTCACCTTGACCTAGTGGCTGCGCCCGTCTGAGTCGCAGCCCCCTGCTCTGTCGAATGAGGCCAGTAGCCCACTGCACAGTGCTGTTTCCTGGGTCAGAGGAGCGTCCCTAGTGCTGAGCGCCGTGCCTGGCCTGGCCTGGGCACCAGGCAAAGCCGGCACACCCTGCAGGGCACTCCCCTGGGCCGGCTCCTCCGAGCACCCACACATCTGTTGTTACCTCCACGGGACACTTTGGTTACCTGTCGCAGAGGCATTATGTGACTAGAAAGTGGCAGGGCCTAGAGAGGTGAAGCCATTTCCTCAAGGTCACACAGCCGGAAAGGGGCCCCCTCAGAACTCAAACTCAGGTCTGTGACACCGCAGGGCTGTGTCTGTTGTCATGGGCTGTGAGGGGCTCCACGGGGCATGGACACTGACAGCTGTCGCCCGTGGAGTGAGGACTCAGAGGTATCGCCAGGTGGCCGAGGTGGGGCGGAGGTGAGAGAGGAATCATCAGATGGTCTCTGGGTAAGGGAGGGGCTGGCGGATTGCGGGGGCCCGGATATGCTCGGGATGGGGGAGGGCTAGGGGGCACCCCACTCCCACGGCCCCCCACCTGACCTGGGCCCTCCTCACCTGCCGAGGTCAGCAGGAAGGAGAAGATGAGGAACCGCATTGTGCAGGAAGGACCAGGGCTCTGCCGAAGTCTGGCGAGGGGAGAGAGTAAGTAACCCGGGTGAGGCTGCACCCTCTTGCCCCCATCTGGAGCCCTCCAGACACAAACTGATCCTACCAGCTGCTTAAGAAACTTCTTCTCTCGCCCTGGCCGGTTTGGCTCAGCGGTTAGAGCGTCGACCTGCGGTCCAGAGAGACCCGGGTTCGGTTCCCACTAAGGGCATGTACCTCGGCTGCAGTTTGTCCCCGGCCCTGGTCGGTCGTGCGGGTGGCAGCCACTCGATGTGTCCCTTTCACGTCGATGTTTCCCTCTCTCTCTCTTCCTCTCTCTCCCTCCCACTCTACCTGAACAAAAAAATGGGAAAATGTCCTCGGGTGAGGATAAAAAAATAAAATAAAAATAAATAAAATAAAATAAAAAAAAAGAAACTTCTTCTCATCATCCTCGTTCCCCACCCCCATCCCCAGCCTGCTCTTTCTCCCGGCCGGTGTCCAAAGAATCTGCTGTTCCTCCAGGCATCAGGCACCAGGCATCAGTCACCAGGAAAAACTCCCAGGTGCCCTTCTAAGCCTGTCAGACCCCAGCACTGTTCTACCCGCCCCTCGATCTCTCTCCATCTCCAAGGCTCTGGCTCAGGCACATTCTCTCTCCAGACCCTGTATCCAGCTTCTTGGGTTCTCCGCAATCCGCCCTCCCCCTGCCTCAAGTTTGTCCTTCCGCTGAAGTTCCCAGCCTACATGATCCCACAGGGTCTTTCTGCACCTTGAGTTGACCATGTCCACTCCTGCTCACAGCTCTCATGAATCTTAGTGTCCCCAGGATAAAGTCCCAGGCCCCCAGCCTCACTTTTGAGGACATGGGTGCCTCCTCACATTGCAGCCTTTCTGGTTGGGTCTCTCATGACCCAACCCTCTAGACACAGAAGCGGATCCTTCCATTTTCCTTCCTGCAATTCCATGCCTCCGTGCCTTTGCTTGGGCTGTTCCTCCTTCTAGGTGTGCCCTTCCCCTCAAGGGCCACTGCCTCCCTGAGGCCTTTTCTGACCCCCCTCCCTGTCAGTGGTGTCTGCCTCCCCCACCAGACTTAGAACTCCCTGAGGGGGCCACCAGCTCTGCCCAGCAACCTTCCGAATTCATCCCCCAAATTCATATTTCCCTCTGAGGCTCAGCCCCTTCTTCAGGAAGGCCTTGATGTCTAACCCTTGTCGCTTCGGAGCCTCACAGCCCAGATCCCCAGGAATGCTCAGGGTGGGTTCTCCTTGTGTCCCCTGCTCTGCCCAGCCTGGGGCCTGGCACATGACATGCCTCAGGGAGTTGCTGAGTTGACCTGAACCTGTGATAACTCCTGACTCTGTTCTTGGCTTTGGTTCAAGGACTTTCAGGGACATCCTCCGGATTCACCCCATCTCCCTCCCCTGCACCCCTCCCTCCGCAGGTCTTTCTTGCGTCTCCAGGACATTTTCTTGGTTCAGGTTCAACTTGGGATCCCAGTAAAGGACACATGGACCTGCCCGGGTGTCCTTGACACTCAAGTCCGTCAGGGTAGTCCATGTGTCTCTCTCAGAGCAGACTGTGTCTCCCCTCATCCCCCTGACTCCTGTCCCAAAGACCTTACCCCCTCCAGATCCTCCAGCAGCAGCTGGGGCAGCTTGGATGCCACGAGAAGGGGAGCAGGCACCCGAACGCCTGAATTTATAAGCTTGTAGCCCCACCTGGGTCCGGGGAGGTTGGGGAGGGTGGGGTTGGAGGCGGCTGAGACTCAGCTTTACGGGCTGGACGCCTAGGTGGCTGGTGGGGTGGGGGGTGAGGCCAAATAAACATTTATTAGGCTGAAACTTTGGTCTGAGTCTACAAGGAGGAATTTCCCCACCAGGAACTGCTTCTCAAGGGGGAGGAGGAGGCAGGATGCAAGAGTTGAAAGTTGGAGATCACAATGTAGAGCCAGGATTCCAGAGTCTGTAATCTGGAGTTGAGATCTGGAGTGTAGAAACTGGAGTCTCGAGTCATACTTCTTTTTTTTTTTATTCTCACCCGAGGACATTTTTCCATCTTTTGTTCAGATAGAGTGGGAGGGAGAGAGAAGAAGAAGAGAGAGAGAGAAACATCGACGTGAAAGGGACACATCGAGTGGCTGCCACCCGCACGACTAACCAGGGCCGGGGACAAACTGCAACCGAGGTGCATCCCCTTAGTGGGAACCGAACCTGGGTCTCTCTGGACCGCAGGCCGATGCTCTAACCGCTGAGCCAAACTGGCCAGGGTTCGAGTCATACTTCTTGTGCCTGGAGTAGGGCTCTGAATCTTGAATTTTGGACCTGGATCTGGAGTCCCAACTTGGATGCCCCAGTTCGGAATTCTGAACCCCCAATTCGGAATCCTGCATCTTTGATTTCTGATGCTAGGTTCTGGTTCTGGGTCTGGGTCTCTAATTCTGGATCTTGGATTTCGAATCCAGATCCCCAATTCTGGACCTGGAAGTCTAGACCTCTCAATTCTGGGTTCTGGGTCTTCGATTCTGGACCTGGACCTCTGGCTCTAGATTCTGGACCCAGCTTTCTGATTGTGGGTCTTTGATTCCGGTCCTCCAGTTCTGAACTCTGAATTTTGGGATCTGGAGCTGGGGATTCATGCCCTGAGGTCTGGAGTGTGAATTCTGGAGCAGTTTGTGTTCTGGGGTTTGGGTCTGGAATCTGGATTCTGGAGTTGGGCCTTTGAGTGACAAGTCTTAGCGTTGGGTTCTAGATCCTGGGCCTTCGAACCTAGTATCCAAACTAGAAGTCTGGAGTCTAGCATTTGCGATCTAAGACTTGAGGTCAGAAACCTTCATAACTGCTGTGTGAAGGCCGGAACCTGGAGTATGAGTGGTAGGTTTTGGGTTTTGGAGTTTTGGAGCCTGGATCCTAGAGTCTAGGTCTGGATTCTGAGATTTCATTGGGTTCCCTTTGGAATGTGAAGTTTGGAGTTTTCAAGCCACATGGTCTATTTAAGAGGCGAGACATGGGCCTTGGATGCTATGATTCCCAGACTCGTAGACTCTTGACTCTGGAGTATGAATTTATCAACCAAAAGACTGGCGTCTTTATTCTGGATTCTGCAGTCTTGACTCTGGGTTTTGAGGCTTGAAATGTGGATTCTGCTTTCAGGAGGCTGGAGATCATCACTAAGGAGACACAAGGCTTTGAGAATGTGAAGTCATCTCACAGTGTCTCGGAACCCTAAGCAACTGGGCCCTGAGCAACTGTCTAGAGGCTGGTTTAGCTCATTGAGAAGGCACAGAGAGCGGGAGGGACCGACCTCCGATCACCCAAGGATGGGACGCATAAGCTCGGTCCCTCTCCATGTCTGGAAAGCCATCACCTTTCTGGGAAGGTGCTGCAAGATGGGGGCTTGCTGTTTAGATCAGTGGCCAATGTCTAGGGGTCCCCGGCCCTTGATTTCCCCACAGATAACATGGGAGAAGGATGGCATCTAAATCCCCATGTACAGCGGAGGCTGACATCAAGAGTTTGCTGGGCAGCTCACTGGGAGGGCGCCCACCCCCCCCAGCGGTGAGGTCTGCGCCCCTCTTCCCTCCCATTCTGCTGAGTCAGACCTGGGTGATGGTGTCCCTCCAGGACATCTCCCCATATGTTCTTCACCTTAACCACAGCCCAAGCCCCGCCCTGTACCCTGCACCTCCTCCTCTCTGGAGTCTTTTGTCAACTTTGGTGGTTCAGTCACCAACCAGGCAGGTCTCCTCCATTTGACCCTGAACTCCGCCTGCCTAGGGTAGCCACCTGATCCTGGGAGGCCCCTCTCACTCACTGTGCCCTAACTCATTTCTCTTTCTCCCCCAAACTTTCCTTCCATGTCCCCCATCTTAGGGACAGCCCCACTGTCCACCAAGTCATGTTGCGACCTCCGCCCCAGCCGCCCCATTCTTCCCTCGTGCCTATAGCCCAAGGCTCCCCAGCCTTGGTCCCTCCTGCCCCTGCTTCTTTTTCTCCTCTCTGTCCCCTTGGCCTAGCTGCAGCTCAAGTGTCTTCCTATGCCTCTGAACCCGCATCCCGGCCTCCTCCTCGACCTCTCACCTTCCCGTCCATTCCCTCCATCCATCACCAGGTGGCCTCAGAGAGCTGTCTACACTCAGAGCTGACCCCGCCCCTCCGTGGTGACTCCTCACCGGCCCGGACAGGTCCCTACCATCAGCCTGCCATTTGAGGTCCTTGGAGATCCCCCTGTCAGGACAAGTCATATCTTGAGCCCTCTTCCTCCAGAGAGACAATCCCTGGAGGGGATGGGGGCCCAAACTCCCGGGTCAGAGGGAGGAGAGGTGAGGAATCTCTCCTGCCTGGTTTCCAGCCTAGTCTGGTCTGCAGACTACGGCTGGTGTGTGGACCTGGAACTCCTGCCCTACGTCTTGTGTGTCTGAACCGAGTCCCAAGAGAGCAAAGAGGTCAGTTATGCTGTGCCCTGGGGACTGAGGGGCCCGGGAGCTGGGAGCAGTGCTGAGCAGAAACAGCATGGGGTCTAACTGGTGTGCTCACAGGCTCCCTCTGGCGGTGGTGTGGGGCAGACTGCAGAGGTGGCTTGGTGGTGGGTGGGAACGGTATTAATCAGGTTGGGGGGAGGGAGGCGGGGAGAGGGTTCTACTCCCAATTCCTCTAAAGCGAGCCGGCAGGATTTGCTGACCGAGAGCAGGCGGGACTGAGAGGCAGCAAGGAGTCAAGGATGATCCTGAGTTTTCACCTGAGTGATAGCCGAGTAGCTACATTCTACCCAGCCCTACCCCACTACGTTCACAGGGGCCCCCACCTCCATCCTCACCAAGTCCACTTGAGCCCAGAGTGTTCACTGATCTGCTTCTCTTCCATCGCAGGGTTCCCCAGTCTTCCAGTCATTCAGCCTTCCTCTACTCTCCCTCATCAACCCTCCCCACACCTGGTGTCTCCTGTGCCCTGACCCTCACTGACGTCCCTTCCATCCTCCTGCTCCAACTCCAGCAAACCCTCAGCATAGCCT